ATAATTGTTTGAAAATTGAATATCGCGCCGCTAGCCGTTTCTATTGGCGCAGCGTTGTATACTGTTACTCCCTAGTCCTCACCACAGTGAGGCAAAAAATTCTTTGCTTGTAGTCGCATCACACTTGCCTACAGCATACTACAGTTCCCCCTCCAAGCGAGGCGGTTAAAATAACGTGATTTAGGAGCGAACTGAGGCCGGCTCAAAGATGCTCGTACTTGTCTTGTAGCTTCAGTTCGCGGTAGTGTCTGATGTCAGTGTGAGTACAAAGGCTTTCAGGATAAGAACAAGGCAGGTATTAATTTAAAGTAAATAAAAAACAACCTCTTTACAACAAAACAACGTAAGACTAAATTTAACGTAATTTAATAGATACTTATTATACAGGGTGTTAAAAAAAGAGTGTAAAATATTTCAGGAGGTAATAGTATGAACCAAAATAAGCAGAAAAGTCTTAATAAACATGGGTCCGCAAAGTAACGGTTGCGGAGATATGGACCACTATTCGTTTTTCAAACATTTTATTTTATTAGGAATAAACCGACAAAGGAAGCTTTTAACAAACAAAAAACAAAGTTACAGAAGATGTTCAAAGTGCCCTCCGTCCATTTCCAAGCAGGCACGACATCTTCGTCTCAACGATATTCGAACTCTTTCGAAAACACCCTCCTTGGTTTGGATTTCTTGACACTTTTGATTAATCCGTAGCTGCAGCTCTTCCAGGCTATTTACAGGAGTACCATACACTAATGTCTTCAAATATCCCCAAACAAAGAAATCTAGAGGGTTCAGATCAGGCGATCTTGGAGGCCATAAAACAGGTCCGGCCCTTCCTACCCATCTATGTGGAAAAGTTTGGTGTAAATGCTCTCTAACGGCCATGGAAAAATGAGCTGGAGCACCATCATGCTGGAACCACATTTGTTGCCTCTGATTCAAAGGAATGTCTTCCAAAAACTCATACAGTGTGTTCTGCAGAAAGTTGAGGTAAGCAGCGCCTGTTAATCGGTTTGGTAAAACAACAGGACCTAGAAACCTGTCACCTACAATACCCATCCAAATGTTTAATGAAAAACGTGCCTGATGTCCAGATTCTATTAGAGCATGAGGATTTTCGTCGGCCCAAATATGCGTATTGTGAAAATTAAACACTCCATTTCTTGTGAACCCGGCCTCATCAGTAAAAAGAATGTTTGCAAGAAAACGAGGGTCTTCAGCATCATGACGTAGAAACCAGCGGCAAAAAACCAAACGTGCTTGATGATCATTTATTGGATTTAAGGCCTGTACTCGTTGCACATGGTATGGATAAAGCAGTTGCTCGTGAAGGATTCTCCAAACAAGAGGACCACTAATTCCTACCTCGGCTGATATTCTCCGCACACTCGTACCTGGATTCTGCTCTACCAGTGCTAGAATTTCTTCTTCTGCTCTAGGAGTGGATACCGACCTTGGTCTTCCGGATAAATGGCACTGTTTGCTCAAGGAACCGGTATCACGCAATCTTTGGTGAATTCTTCCAAACATGCGTTGTGAAGGAATCTGGCGATTTGGATAAGCGTCAACATAAAGACGTCGCGCTTCGGTGGCGTTCCCATTAGCACGACCATACATGAAATGCATGTCTGTTAATTCTGCGTTAGAGTAACCAGCCATAGCGAAAGAAAACTTGTGCACTGAGAACAACTGTCAAATACGTACTGTTTATTTCACTAAACATCAACCAACTATTATAAGAAAATACACAACGTTTTTGCAAAATAAAAAAAGGGGCTAAAAAACATAAAACATTCCATATCTCCGCAACCGTTACTTTGCGGACCCATGTTTATTGAGACTTTTTTGCTTATTTTGGTTCATATTATTACCTCCTTAAATATTTTACACTCTTTTTTTAACACCCTGTATTATGAAATACTTACATAGGTAGCTAATAATGAAACTATCCACAATATTGTTTTATCTCTTGAAACACATTTTTCAAGACGTAAAATCACTAGTCAACGAATTTCTGAATTAAGAAACGAAGAAAAATTTTAAAATATTTTAATTATGCGAAAAATATTACTGGACTACCAAGTAAACGGGGCAAAAGTTGCGACGAATTACAAATATTTTCCAAATATATTTCCCCATAATTAAGTATCTATCTACTCGTTTTGGGAATTTACATGATTTAAATTTTTTTGCTTTAATAGATTCCTCAAAATTTCCCGAAAAATCGTTTCAATGTATATTACAAATGTATCCAAAAGTTTTTGAAATAGATAGGTTGAAAAACGAACTTAATATTTTGTACAGAGACGAACAATTTTGTAATTTAGAAGTTCAAAAAACGGTATACATACAACGATTTTAAAATTATATTTTCGAAAACACAAATTATTTTGCCTAGTTTTAACAATTCCTTTAACAAGCGTCTCGGTAGACAGAAGCTTTTTGTGTCTTAAGCGCATTAAGACTTAGAAATACGATGACACAAGAGCCCTTAAACAACTTATCAGTGATGACGATAGAAAAAGAACTATTGAAAGTCTTATCTGTCAATCAATTCCTCAATCCTCAATTTCCTCAAGATTCAAAATCCTCATTTCAGATCCTCAGATTTCCTCAAGATCCTCAATTTTGTGAAGACATTATTAGTAAATTTGCAAATTTAAAAGACGAACGAATAAACCTGTTTTATAAGAACAAATATTTTGTTAAAAGTGGAGGCAAACGAAAAGCTGGCAGCGTTGTTTTATGTAAATAGATTAGTTGGCTGGCTACCTTATGAAAATTTGTTTTTATATTTTTGTTAATTATTAGGTAAATACATATATCATTTGTTTTTTTCTGTTTCTTAATTTTATTGTAAATTCAATTTTTAAAGTTCTAATATTAAATAATAACATAATAAAGAATGACGTGGAAATTTATTCCTACTTATTATTTGAGAGCGGATTAATAAAATATCCAAATAGTTGCGTATTATTTTTTATAAAATCTGAATGAAAATCCTGCTCGTGAACTTCAGTTTTCTGTTGACCTACCAAAAACCTCACACTGAAGAAAAGCGACAAATATAAAATACACATCATTACTATCTATCATGTACTTCAAAAAGTTTGTTGATGTTGATTCGAATTAAAATTTAGATAACTGTTAGCGGGAGTTTCTTTCCTATAAATACTTACTTCTAAAGAATTGTGTTTTTTTTTTTAATTAAAGTATATAGTGTATTATTTCTATTACCAAAATAGATTTAATTGTTGGTTCTTTGTTATTAATATTGTCGAGATTGGCAAAAGGTCAAATTGTAAAAATATTGTCTACATATCTCCGCTAAATGGTGATCATTTTTTAAAATTATTGAAAAACAATAAAGATTTAACTTAAAATTGAAATAATGAGGACCTCTTTGCCATTCCGAAATCTTGTTTATAAAATTCATTACCTAATTGCAAACATGAAGTTTTTATACATAAATTTAATAATTTCATTATATTTTATACTACAGGGTTCCGTTCTGAGACCATTATTATTTGTTATAATAGTAAATACTGGTACTAATGTTGTATATACCTTTGTTTGCTTTATGATGATGGCTTTAAAGTTTTCACCATTTGTCAAAACCTTAGAAAACCTTTTATTTTAATTCTGCACTCTCCTGTTTCCTAATTGGGTGAGAACTTATATATTCAAATTTTTTTGGACAAAATATTTATTATGAAAATATTTATTAGCAAAATAACTGTAGATAAAAGTTATGATAAAGTTTTTCTCTTGGTTTCTTCTTTCTTCACACCCTGTATTACAAAATAACTATATTTATATGGAGTTAAGCAAGGCGAATCGAATTTTCGAACCACCAGAAACAGTCCCCGGCGTTCAACAGCTTAACAACGCGCGATCTATCCCCTCAAGATCAACAAACCCCTAATATCAGGACTGACATTGAACGACGAACAATACCGTTGGATTTCAAAGATAGGGACAGATGTTCACTAGTGAAACCGTTACGAACTATCACGATCGCCTCTTTGCTTTTTATGCGGTACCTAGAAGCGTATTCACCCCTGCACCCCTACCACCGAAAAGCTAGACGTAATCGAGGACCCCTCTTCGTCATAGTTAATAAAAAATGGAAAAGTTATTTGGAGAACGGTAAAAAATGGGAATTTATTACAATGGTAATTTAGTTTTTTCAGTCCAAAAAGGAAAGGACCCTATAAGTTGATACATAATTTTTTCAAAGAGGGTCGCATTAGGGAAAAAGTAATCCGTATGTCGAAATTTACAATACGTCACTACCTAGAACTTATTATTTGTTTTTATTAAAATAAACTTTGAAATTAAGGTGATATATTTTAATACTTACTGGCTTACCACGATATAAATGTTTTGGGACCGCTGACTCTGTTAATAGCTAATTGATTTTTATCGAAAAAAAATTCACTGACGCTGACTTCATTCGTTGTACACAAAGATGAGTAGTTAACTCCCATTTTTGTATGTTTGACAGCCTTATAATCTTTTCATAACAAGAAAACACAGCTAAACGTAAAAATGTAGAAAAATCAAAGACATTAGTTCACAAATAATTATGCTTGAAACAAACAAAAATACACATATAATGTTTCTGTGTATTCCAGCGAATCTCGTGCTATCTACTGCCACACCTATTCACCTCTTTTTATGTAGGGTACGATTCCAGTGGTTCTCAATAAGTTTCAACAACCATGATTAATAGTAATTTTGAGCACCATTTTGCAGTTCCAATGGTTGTGATTGTTAAAAATTTTTATTGTTAATGCATTTTACTTAAAATTCAAAAACCTCTTCAAGTTTGCAAACACATTTTTTTCATAATTTAAAAATTTGACAGAACGAATCAAATAAACCTAATATTTTATTTATTAAAAAAGAACCACTTCTGTCTCGTCTGAAGATGGAACGACTTGTGTCCGAAACGTGCTTATCTGTTGAAATCCAGAGTGTAATTGTGTCTTTCTTTTTAGGGAGTTCTACTATATCCAAATGGAAAAATACGCTAGACAAGCAGTATCCGAAGGCGTGAAAAATGCAGAGGACCTCCATGTTGGAGGAGATTCCGAACTGTATCGAGTGCTCAACCTGCACTACAATAGAAACAATCACATCGAGGTATGGGGGCCACAGGTTCGTGAAGTAGAGAGATATCTCGAACCCAAATCTGTGCATTTTTTTATTTTTTTTATCTTTGTTTTATCTATTCGATGGTTTTTTTCTACAGCTGGACTGTACAAAATAACACCTACTTGCGAGTTATTTTTAAAAAAAGGAAGTGGAATGAGGTCTGGAGATCTAGCTGGCCAACAGACACGTTTCTCCAAACGTTTCTTTTTATATTCAAAATTTATTTTAAGACAAAGTTACCCATTACATTAGAATGTAAAAAAATATGCAGGTTGTCTTTAATTTGGTTACCAAGCTCTACAGGGTGTTCTTTGTTCAAAATTAATACAAAGACTTCACTTAAACTATGGGCCAATTCCGATTCTTTACAAAGATACAACACTGGGAAGATGATCTACTGACAATGGTTTTTACCAAATTTGGTTGTAATTCTTTAACTGATTTAGAAGATATTTAAAGAAACATTGTCAAACAGATCTAGATAAGATGACGGAATAATTGGTCCCTAGCTCCTTTGAACTTCTTGAGTTTCTTCTTTTGCAACACCTACTAGAAGAAGTCGCATTAATATAATCCTTCCACCTAAATTATATGCTATCGTTTTGGTTGCTGGAAAATTGTTGAAATTAACCTGTCTTTAATTTCAAGTCTAACAAAATACAGTCTCATCAGTCATTTGCTTTTAATTCTTATGATTTGCATAATTTCTACCACCATTTTATTATTATTATTTACAGAGGCATCAGTGGGATCGAGATGTATTCTCTGTTAATGTTTTAGTCACATTTATAATAACATATTAAATATACTGAACAGAAGTAGAAGCTACCAGTATAGGAATATTCAGAACTAAAATCTTCTATATGTCCTAGCAACTTTTCATTAACTAATATTCTCCTACAATTTTTTATTTCAGTATAATTTAATAACAAAAGGGGAAGTCTACCAGTAATTGTATAGAACCATCTCTATTATAATTTATATTTGAAGCCAGTGATCAATGAAAGTGCTTCTTTCGCTAGAAACATCTATAGTTTGACCATTTTGTTGACACTTAGTGTGTTAGTATTAATTACTAGAACATGAAGTGACATCTACTGGTTTCTTTCTGTGTGTATAATGGCAATCACAGTATAAAACTGACATATACATATGTAGGTTTTAAAAATATTTGTAGTGTAACAGTAACAACAGTTTCCATTGAGTGTTTTCAATTTTTTTCTGAACCTTTATAGACAAAGTCAGTAATGGTAATTACTGGTACACTTACCCTACGAGCTGAATTAATTCTTATACGTTAACTTCTATTTTTAATCTTCTTATCAAACAAAATACACCAAAACGATTATCACTTCAATTTCTGAATCATCAGAAAGGTCCAAACGAGACCAAGAAGTATGGAGTAAGGGTGATGATGATTTAATGGCGGTTTCGGTTGCAGGTTCCTTCGAACTTCCGATTCGTGGTAGAGCAGACCCTCAGGGAGTTCTTCAAGGCCATCCAGGAAGGCAGGGATGCCGAACAGTCCTGGAAGAAGTCCATCTACAAGATCATCTCCAGGCTGGACGATCCCGTCCCGGAGTACTTCAAATCCCCCAACTTCCTAGAACAGCTAGAGTGACCTGCCTGTCAGGCCAGGTCAAAGTCGGCTGCGGAAGGCAGCCAGTGGTTGCCCACAGGCAGCGCCTGTTAGTACCATCGGTACTAGCGGTCCGTAACACCAGAGAGAATCGGTGACGTATGTTATCTTACAGACTGTCAACAGTTTTCGTTGTTTTTAAATGGTTTTGAAGACGTCGATGTTCAGAAGAACCTTGCCATCTTTGATCGCATTCGGACACTTGTTAAATAGTCGTGTTAAGTTGGCAGGAAGACTATAAAAATGCCTCAGGCTTAAGTTCGTTTGTGCGAACAGTGAATACAATTCAATCAATTTGCCAGTGATTACCTGAATCTTTACCGGATAGAATTATTGACGTCAAGTCCTCAGTTTCTTAAACCAGCAGTTAGCAAAGTTCAAAATCTGCACTCTTTCCGTTTACCTCTGGCATCTACTTGTTTGCTGCCACTGTAAACTGTGCTGTGCTTGTACCACTTGTAAATAGATAGATCTACTTGTATATAGTATTTATCACTTATTTTAACTTATATGATTATTATTACATTCCTAACCAAAGTTATATTTTTGCTAGTCTATTTTTTGCAAATAATTATTTTATTTTATTTATTTCAGCGCCATAGATTGAGGACAGTCCAGCAATTACCTCTTTCTGTGGTACTGACAAAACCCGGTACTTGCAATCCTTCTTGGTATTAAATACTGACGGATCGCAACTATCCTCATATATTAAGTAGATATGCCTTTATGATTATGATTTGACCTGTAACAAGTGCTAGAATCCATAACAAACATCTTATCTCAAAAGAAATCCATTCACATCAACACCTTTCACTCTGCTCGTTGTAGAAATGAAGAGGAAGACAATGTTCTTGATAACCATCAAACATGTATGATACTAGATGGTGACTTTCCCATACAATTTTTGTTTGTCATAAATAAGGGTTTTAGAGGAAAGTTGTCGTGTGGTATTTTCAATCCTAGGTTTAACTAGATGTACAATTATATTTAAACAAAGACAAAATTATCTAGAATGCTGTCTGACTATCTTCAAAGATTGTACGTATTAAATTAAATTTTTGCAGAAATCAATAACAATATCATCTTTGACTTTCGTAAACATGACTATTATGTATTCTAGCATTTCCCTTTTTTGTTTTGTACCTCGATATTTTTACTTTTAATTTTGATTGCATTCTTTGTGTTCCGACTAGTTGCTATTTGTTTATTTTTGTAGCATATCTGCTTGATATATTGCATTATTATTACCATTATTATTTTTAAGTTTTCACTTGCACAATAATAGTGTAGTAATACACGATCTCCCTATCACAGTGTGAGGCAACTAGTCAAAAATAATAAATATATATAGTTTTAATTTTTTCGTTTTGCTTTTCGTTTTCGTTTTCTTCTTCTTCTTCTTCTTCTTCAGAGATCCAGTGGCAGTTTACAGTGGGGTGGGAACAATTTAGGTCCAGACAGAGCAAATTGTACATAAAATTTCTGAACCAGTATTCCTTCTGATCCCTTAAGAATAGATAAGTCACAACCAAAAGGTCCCGGGGTAGTTATCCCGGTCTACAGCTAGACCGGGGGTGTCGTGATTTTGCTGTTCCTAAAGTTATATATTCGAAACTGCCGAAATTCGAAAGACTGCCATTCATTTAAGGTTGAGTTATGGCCTTGGTTGTCGTTAAAACGTTCAGTTGCTTTTCAAAATTAATGGTTTGGATATTATTGGAGATGTTGAGTTGACGTTTCGTTTAGTCTCGGGACCTCTTCAGGTACGTTACATATTAAAACGTTTTTTAAAATTTAAATGTTAATATAGTTATTTATTGAGATAAAGTATTTAACGTTGTCGATAGTAAAGTACCCATTGCGGGCAGTCCTCAAGCTCCCAACGCTCGGTTCTTCAAAACAACTCTGTAATTATTAATATAATAAAAAAACATACTGGGATAACCTAAGTCAGCACCACGAAACAGTTACAAACTTTAAAACAAAGTGAAAACGCATATCTCTAATCTAATTCAACATAACCTCAAAACAGCATAACCAATATCGCTGCTACATAACCTCAAATTGTGATATATCGAATGTTTTGCAATAATGTACTACATTTTCTAATAATAATAATACAAAACTGCAAAGTAGGTTTTTTGTAATATAGGGCACAATTTATTCTATGGATTTTACCAATGTTTTCAAAATAATTACACTCCTGTTATCCTTTTTGCCTTCCTGTCTAGGACAAAATGGTAAAGAGCAAGGTTTCAAGAAATTTTCATTGTAAAGAAATATACAAAAAAAAAACAATTGAATGTTGCACTTCGGGATATAAACCAAATTTTTGTGTCTTTTAATATTCTTTTATGATTACAATAATATATATTTGTTCGATATTTGTTTTGATAATTTGCATAATTGCCGGTTTATTTACTGACCTTCCAATTAATCACTGTTGCCATTGAAAGAGGGCGTAGAGAGTAGATTTTCCGTTATTAAACTTACTAAACAAATTTTCTAGATTAAAAAAAATACCTTTTTTTAAGGTCTAGTCTTATAATATCTGCATCCTGTTCTAGTCAACATGTTATATTGCAAACAAGCTTTTTTATAATATCTTGTTCATTCTTCGTTCAGTATACTCTTTAAGTCATGTACCTACATTCTCAGATGTGTTTATTTTATCTTCCTGAATCATATTAAGAATTACATATTATAGAACATAAAATTAAATTAACGTTTCCACTGTTTTGCGATCTTGATTAGATATCCAAGCCAAGGTTTTAGTTGGATAAAGATCAATAAATAAAAGAACACTATATTTTAAAACATTTAAATTATCCTCATAAATGATTATTTAAAGCATGTTCTTTGTCTACAATATAAAGTATACTACACTATAAAACACCTTTATAGTGTAATATGTTTTTATTCATAAAATATTAAAAGTATGTTTAATAGATTTAATAAGATGAAAGCATAGGTTCCACAGCACTTTTGACTTTATCTTTTACGGAGGTGTCAAATTGTGAAAATAGATATATGTCATGTACATATGATTGTAATTATAGAAAGCAGAGGGTTACAAAATATACAAGTTGGTCCATTTAAAAGAGCACAAGTTCTTTTTTGATTTTTTTTTGAGATAGTAAGAAAATTTCGTAAGCGCTTTAGTCTTTACAGTTTTTTTCTAAATGGAAGTTCTAAAAGATAAGAGAAGTAGAATTATGTGATTATTTTTGTTTGCATATTATGAAATTATTGAATAATCTATACTGGATGTTTCTTATGCTGCAATCCTTGAAAATTTCAGGGTACTACTTTTTTGAGGTTAGGTTTTTGGAGTAATTAATAGGATATTCTTATGTACTTTTTAATTATACATAAAAATGTACTTTTATCAACATTCATTAAAAGTATACTACCTCTGTTTACTTTTTGTTTCACGTAAAATACTTATATTTGAAACTATTTAATAAATGACTGAACTCTACCAGAACCAAAAAATATATATACCTAGGTGTAAACCTGACAGGCCTACCTCCACATTTTGTTCTTTAACAAGAGAATAATTTTATATAGAATTAAAAAGCACGTAGGACTAGTATTAATGATCTTAAAATCTTAACCTCAAAAAAGTTTAACACAAAATTTTCAACAAACACAGTTTATAAATTACTTAAGGAATAATAACTAAAAAAATATTTATGGCCTCTGAAAACATAATTGTAAACAACTGATGGTGGACTCATTGAAAGAATCTTCTTAATATTTGATATTCTACTGCTCCTAGAACGTATATTATTGCAAAACATTGTGTATATAAAATGTAAAATTATTTGTTGATCATTTTCAATATATTGTATGTAATTTTAGTTTTACATTAACAAAAACGGATTAAAAACATGAGTAAAAGTTATTTTTTGTTATGTAGTTATTCAGAATGCAAAATATTACACATTGATTGATATGAAAGTAAAAAAAAAGATCAGAAGTTTATTATTTTCAAACCTGGCTTGGGTTATCGCGGGAAAAACAAAATATACATATGTAAATAAGCTTATCTCCATGCAATAGATGAAAACTGGTAGTAATTCTGCACATATTCGGTGTTACTTTCGAAATATAAATAAAATAGCGAATCGGGTAAAAACCTGAGTACAAAAGTTTTTGGACTGGCCGCGCGTGACACACAACAGGGATAATGAAGTGAATACCCAAGTGCTTTATTTTTAAATGTTACTTAGAGCAAATCCTGCAGATTTTCACTTAGCTATGGGCCGGCGGCGGCCCTAAAGGGGACCGCACACGAGCGAGTAAATCCCGAGACTTACCTGACTCAACGATCCCGGGAGATACTCGCCGCGTGCGGTCCGTCCGCTTTAGGCCGGAAGCGCGCCGTCCGAGTCCTAGAACTTGACACAAGACCTCAAAAAGTTACTGTTGGTTTTAACAATTCACCCAACTTTAACTTGCTGCCACAGAATTTACCGACGACGATGATGACTCCAAAAGCGCGGCCGAAGGGCCCGCACCAATTCGCGCTTAGCCCTTCCCGGGGCTACACGAATTGTTGAAGACAAATCTCACAGATGAATTCAGAAAAGGCCTGGACAAGGCCCAGGAGGAATTACATTGCTTTCTGGATGAGACTGTATAAGTAATTTTTGAGGTCGCTCCAAGCCCGATGTCGGGCCGTAGTGTAGTTTCCCTTCTTAGGTAGGACCCCAGCATTGTTCCTTTTCAGTTGGATTCTAGGGAGCCGCCCAAACGTCCCGGTCTGGACAGAAGCGAAAGCCGCAGCTGTCCTTATACGTAACAAACCGAAATTCTAAGCAAAAATCCGGAAAAAACTAGAACAAAACATAATCGGAATTCCACAAGGAACAGTTTGGGGGTCGCTAAAATACTCAAGAACTTTTAAACCGAAAAATTATCAAAAAATAAATAATTCACAGCTGTAATTGATTAATATTATACAAGACCAAAATTAGCTTGCAATAATTTGCCTGAACATTCTACAATCCACGACTAAAAATAAAATAATTCGTTTATACAGATGTAGAGAAAATGATGCATGCTTTCTACTAGAACTACAGACTCTTAAAGCCTTCAGTCTCTGAAAGTTTTTCTGTAACTATTAGAGATGAAACAATTCAGTTTTGCACAGAACAGAACCACAAAACAATCTAACAGTCAGAATACTAATTGTCTGAGGTCTACAAAGACGGTAAAAAATGGCAGAAAGTAACCTGTATCGAAGGTATTATAAAAGTATAACCAGACCCCTATAAGGACGAAAGCAAAGTTTCAAATGATGATGTTGCCATAACCAATTATTCTATCATCAATTAGGTACATCAGCAACATTATTAACTTCATCGGTCGAACACACCAGTCCTCATCATTGTTAGTCCTCATCAATATGCCATATGTGTAACAACCGACAGACGATCCAGACTTAGATTCATTAAATCCAGTAAAGTACTAAGTACAAATAAAAGATGTAAGATGTACATCACTGTATTTACTCCTTTCCTGGATGTAGGGAATTTAAGCAGATGGATCATTCATCGGTTGTCGCACTTATGGCATACTGATGAATGCTAACAATCGTTATAATCCTAGCTATAGCAGAGTAGTTGTGGCAATATTGTGACTTGACTCAATGTTTCCACACATCGTCATATCCGTATTTAGATATATTAATTCACTTGTTACAGATCATTAACACAAATGTACATCTACACTTTTTTGTCAGTTAAGTTTTGTTTAGATATTTATACACCAATGAATCCACAGGTTCTATTTCAAGATCGGAGTGATCGAGGTTATTGTTGATGTTGTCTGGTTGTTAGGCATTACCATTACCTCCTAGATTAACAAGGTCTCCAGGCTTCAGGCGAGACGTCACGTCATTAGTGAAAGATGCATTACTCACTAAAGCCATAAATCGATTATGAGATGGATTCACGTGTTAGAAATTCTGTCAAATTAAAAAGATATGAAAGATGTACTAGCTAAATTACATATTTAGTTGTTTGGTTAGGAAAAAAATCATTGCACAACATAAGATGAAACGGAAATGCTAAACACTACTGTTGCATGTTCAAAAGATTGTAAAACTGCGATTGATACACAAAAGAACTTGTGGAAATATTTAAATTAATTCAATTGACTTAAAAATGTAAAAATATATTTTTACTGGCATTTAGTTTCTCTACTTATGTGATTTCATTTGCCACAAAACATCATTTTAAGTTTATGTATTTCTTTAATCCATAGGCTTATTTTAACAGGTACAAAATATTGGATAAAAATGTGAGATTTCGGAAAAACTTATTAGATACATTTTTTTTGGCTTGTGAAAATTTTAATACTTATTCTTGGAACACCCTGTTATAGAATTATTTAAAATCGCGTTTTACATAGTGATTAATCTTGCGACAATTGCCGGAGTAATTAACTGAGTTTAGTGGTTGAAAATCATTTATAAATTCTATATTGTGATGACCTAGCCAGGGGAGTTTGTAGATAAAAATTG